TTTCTTCAGCCCGTAAAGAGTTTTTTTAGCATGTACACCTTCTCTTCTCCCACTTGAACAAAAAAACCTTGAGGTTTCTCAACATAAATCTCTTCATCACGTTTTCCGTTCAGAAATACAGATTTAACATCAAGTTGAAATATCTTCAATTTCTTTTGTGCAGCAACAACAAATACAGTTCTAATTGTCTCAAAATGAGAAACTAGAGAGAACGCTTCATAAAAATCAATACATGGTTTTTGCGAGAAGCTTCTAGCAACAAAACATGATTTATGCTTTTGAATATCTCCTTCCCGATTGAGTTTCATATTGTACATCCATTTTATACTTACAACTTCTCTTTCTGTAGGTATAGAAGCTCCCAAGTAATTTTTTTTCAATCATCCGAATTTCTTCTTCCATGGCTTTCCTCCAAACATGCTTTATTGCTTCTTCATATTTTTCTTGCTCAACACCAACAAAATAACATCTTTGATAAATGTCACTCAACATTTTGTTCCTCTTGGAGGTGGTTCTTCATCATCTGAATCTGGGATTTCTCCCCCTTGACAGACATCTTCATCTTTCTCATCCTCTTTTTTATTTGACTATATGAGAGCAGTATTCTCTATTTTATCATTATCCCAATTCCATGTTGTTTTTTCTTCAAAAATGGCATCTCTACTAACAACAAGTTTGTTAGTTTTTACATCGAGAAGTCTATATCCTTTTGTCACATCATAATAGCCAAGAAAGATACATTTTTTACTTTTTTCATCAATTTTGTTCTTTTCTCAGCAGGTACATGAGCATAACAAATACACTCGAAAATTTTAAAATGACTTACAGAAGCATTAATTCTACTCCAAGCTTCAACAGGTTTCTTGTCCTTTAGTGACTTTGTTGGACACCTGTTAAGGATGTGAATTGTTGTATGCACTGCTTCTACCCAAAAATATTTTGGCAGCTCTTTCTAATTCATCATAGTTCTTGCCATTTCAACAAGTGTTCTATTTTTCCTTTCAAATACACCATGTTGTTGAGGAGTATACCCTGCTGTAAGTTGCTTCTGAATGACTTTATTTTTGCAATATTCTTCAAATTCTCGACCTGTGTATTGACCTCCTCTATCACTGCGAATGGTTTTAATGTTGCAACCTTTTTTCTTCTCAACAAGGGCTTTAAATTTCTTGAATGTAGCAAATCATTCTGACTTTTCTTTCAAGAAATAAACCCAAGTCATTCTTGAGTATTTATCAATAAACATTAGAAAATACTTTTGACTTCTAAAAGATGGAGTCTTCTTTGATCCACAAATGTCGATATGGATTAGTTCCAAAAATAAAGTTGTCTCCAAGACACCCCTTTTGGAAAAGACTTCCTATGTTACTTTCCTATTATACAACTTTCACATGGATCAACGTCAGTACGTATCTCCAGAAGGGCTTGCACCATGTCCTTTTGCTTGAGAAGCTTCAAACCATGAAAATTCAAGTGACAAAATCTTTTGTGCCAAAGCCATGATTCATCTACAATTTCATTCTTAATGAATTGTATTGAAATTGCAAAGGGAATTTTCTTTTTATCATCTCTACTTCAACAATGACTTGATTTGGCTCAATTTTATCATGAATCCTGCAATACTTATTTCTAAACAAAAGAGCATAACTATTTTCCATGAGTTGACCAACACTAAGCAAATGTTCTTCCAAGTCAGGAATATAAAGAACGTCATGAACTTGCTTACCGCATCCTTTCATGTTGATCGAAATATTATCTTTACCTTTCGCATCAACTAAGGCTTCATTCCCCATCTTCACTTTAGTAGTGATGCTATTATTAATTCAGAGGAAAGTCTTTTCATCTTCAGTCATGTGATTACTACAACCACTATCAACATACCTTTCATTGCTTTTTGTTGAAGCATCAGATTTAGAAGCAAAGGAAAGGTTTTCTTCCCTTTCTTCCGCCTATTTTTCACAAAAAATTGCTTGCTCCCGTTTCTTGTGGCAGCAATCTTTTTCAACGGGGACAAACGTTTTAGAAAAGTTACAGTGGGGCTTGCGTTTGTTCCAACATTTTTCTGCATTGTAAAACTTTACGAAAAAGACTAGAATTATTCTCACTTTTTTCTTCAACCTTCTTGGAAGAACCATCATGATCCTGCTTCTTTTTTGGCTTGAGATTCTTCTTTTGTTGATTTTTTAGAAATTTTTAGAATTCTCATTTGTTTTATAGTGGAAAACCGTCTCTTTGGGTTGATCTTCACGAAAATATCTTTGCTTCTTGTGTGCACGGAATTTTATTATTATGATTTCTCATTTCATTAACGATATTCAAGACTCTTGTGCAATATTCATCTATTTTTTAGATTCTATCATCTTTAAATTTTGAAACTCTCTTCTAAAAGTTTGAAGATTTATAGTTCATGCCTTTTCATCACCATACACCTCAGTTTCCAGAAAGTCCAAAGCTTCCTTTGCAGTCTCACAATTAGAAATTTTTTGTAAAATATGCTCTTAAGACTCCCATTTGGATTTTGCTCAAGGATTTTGCATTTTGACGATACTTAGCCTCTATAATTTTCATATTCGCTGTTGTAAGATCACCTATCATTGTCTCTCTCTTCAAAAACATTTGCAACAATAATACACAAACCTTCAGCATTCAAACGTGTTCTCATTCTTATCTTCCAGTATTTAAAATAAGTTCCATAAAAAAATGGAGTAAGAACAACAGAAGAATCAACACCTTTATTTGTTTTGGATGCCATATTTGTTTCTTCACCTAGCTCCATATTATGAACGAAAACCTGCTTTGATACCAATTTGTAGAAAATATGGAAGGAAAATAGTATATTTAGAGAATACTCAAATTAATTATTGGCTACTTAAGGCCACTTGAGATGATTACAATCATCAACTACATCACTATTTATACTACTAAAAATAGAAAATAAAAAGTATTGCACAAATAATTAATACATGTATCACAATTTACTAGATACATGTACTACGAAATTCTAAAGAGACTTCTTGAAAAACTAAGAAACAATTTCAGAAGACTAAAATTGATGCATTAATTCCAACAAAAACTAGGATGTCCTAATATATGCTCAATGATGTCTGATGTCTTCTAATCTTGTATATGAGTCAAAGCATAGAGTCCACTTCTCTTAGATCCCTAGGTTAGTAGTATCCTTGTGTTCTTCTCGTTTACAATAATGTTAGTTTCATCAAATTCAATAGTGCAATAATAATTTTTAGCAATTTTACAAATTGACAGTAGATTCTCAAACAATCTTAGGATCTACAAGGACCTTTTCTTATTTCAAACATGACCTAGTTGTATTCCAAACATCTATTATGTCTAATTGTGATCCATTCCCAAAAAAATTTAATAAAATCCACTGTAGTGTTTAATTAGAAAAAATATTGGCTCTTCAAGCCATATACAAAGTTTCATATGTAGATGATATATTATGCAGATTGATAGCAGCAAAGGCATGTGGTAGTTCATCTACATATTGACAAGAGTAACCCCACATGTAAAAGAACTTAAGAGTGGTACCATTATTACCAATAATTTAAGCAAATCGGTAGCATTTCTATCCTTATTTCTACTTCAGAAGCTTTGATTATTCTAAAGTATTTGATCCTTGTCCAACAGGTTTGAGACCCCTTCCTTTGGAGTTGAAGTTGTTGTTTCCACTTCTCTAAGAGTAGTTTCATCATTCCCTTATCCTTTGGGTAAAGAATTTCGTGCTTGTGTAGTTGCAATTCTTCATAATTCTCTTTCATATCAGAAATCCTGAGAGAATTAACAAACTGATTAAGTGTGAAATATGGTGCCTTACCTAGCATGAAAGTCCTGAAGGATTTGTACTTAAGACCTAAGCCTAAAGTTTTTTAATTTTCTATCTTCATCAACATGATTGTGAGTGGCTTCAATACCATCACATGTGGCTTTGATTTCTTGGTTGCTGCAGTTATTGTTTAACCTAAAAAGATGGCTTTTTTTTAAGCATTTCTCACATCTCATTTGGCAGTTATAAAACCCACAATAGAGTACATGTCTTCTTCTATTAAGGTGCTTCAGATCAAATTCCTTAACAGTACAAATTTCTCCTATAATCATCAACACTACCACTATTTTCTGTATTATCTTCAACACTTATAACCACAACTTTCTCAACAGCCTTTCCAGTTGAATGACCACTTGCAATTGGTTCATTCTCCTTGATGGTATAGGTGAGTCTCATCACATGAATCAACTGCATCATTTGTGTCCTTTGTTAGCTTAAGTTTAATGGAACAAGATGCAATTAGGTGATGAAGGGAATAAGTTGAAACAGTATTCGTAGATGGATCCATGTCAGCTAGACATGTGATCATTTTGAATTCAATACTTAAGCTGTGGAATATCTTATTCTCTTATACCATGTAGAATTAATTCTCAACAAAACTTAAAGAAATCAAGATTTGTATTGATGGTTAAGCATTTAAGTAGAGGTTGATATAGAGTTGTAGATTTTTACACTCGTAGACTAGTATTGCAGTTATAATATAAATTACAATAATAGAGGTTAACTAGTACTATACTTACATAGCCTAGTACAGGTCAGAGTTTAATTCTTAAACAGCTAGCCAGCCTTCTAACAGTTGAACCATGTTTATCAACTCAATCCTTATCTTCAACAGTTATAGCTAGTGATTTTATGAAAAATATTGTCACCTATGAATTTAAAATTAATTTTTTTACATTTTTAGAGTCAGTCAAATCTTTCGAGTTCTTTCACAATACCTTATAGCCTTTTAAGGTATCTATGTGTGAGTTATTCCCGTGATTTCATATGTAGATTAGAAAAAATATTATGTTTGTGATGATGAAAAAGTCAATTTTGTAAAAGTACCATAAGGTTTAATGTGAAACTCATCATGGATTTTATAGTGTTGATACTCTACTCTATTCTTCTTAATGTACTGAATAGTGATATGCTATATTTAACTGATATGGTACAGAGTGACTGGGAAGGTGGATATTATCCAATGACAATTCACTTTAGTGAAAACTATCCTTTCATGCCACCCAAGTGCAAGTTTCCTCAAGGTTTCTTTCATCCAAATGTCTATCCATCTGGGAAAGTATGTTTGCAGTCTCTCTTTAATCAGGGCCATGTAAGTTTTTGTCATTCTTAATTTTGAAAATTTGTATATCGTCTTCAAGATTACTCTTATCGTTATTGTGTTTTTATAACCATGTTTAGGGGTGGAGTCCTACCATTACAGTGAAAGAAATTCTGATAGCTATTCCTTATTTGCTTGATTGGCCGAGCCCTAATTATAAAGCACAAACAGATAGTTATAATATGTACATACAGGTAACTAACTACTCAAGCTTCATGTGTACTGCAATCAGATTTTCAATATTAGAATTATTCACAATAATAGCTTGTATATCTGAAATTCTATGAGGATTCCAGTTGAGAAATTGCTTACACGGATGCTTACGTAAAAACATAAATTTTAGGATATCTTAAATGTGGAAAAGGGTATGAAAAATACTCCAACATTTGCCGAAATTGTTGTTATGATACCAAACTTTATGAACGACCTTACCAAAGTTTGATATCGTAACAGCTATTTCCATCAAAGTTCGGATATGTTTCAAATATTTTTCCATACTAAATACATTGAAACTTTTTTAGAGATACTATTGGATATTAGGAGGGATTCCAAATGTCAATATATTGCTTACAAATTTTTGTTAAATTGCTAATGAGAAAATTAAATTTTTGTTTCCATTCATAGATATGGTGCATTTGAAATATGATTATTGAGTAAATCTTATTAATTCCTAATTCTGGCTTTTCATTATAATATGTGGCCTTAATTTTGCAGGATAATGCTGAGTATAGGAGACGAGTCAGACAGCAGGCTGAACAGTATCCAGCTTTTTTCTGACATTATTTTGTGATGAATTAAGACTAATCATGTGACATTGATAGTCTTTATCAACATGGTGGTCATGTGTCTAATTTGGTTCTTATCTTCTTTATAATTGAACAATTAATACCGTATGTGTGCAACATGCATGCTCTTTCTATCTGTTCTTCGATGGTTAGAATGAACATCAACTATTATCTATCTTCGACTCATTGTGAACTATTGCTTAAAACTCTAGACTTGTTATCTATGATATTTTGCTTGAAATTACATAACATGTTATTTCGTTCTCTCTTTTATTCTATTTTGTGGTGTATGATACAACCAAGGTCAACATCCTTGATGCTTATTGTAGGAAATATTAGGAGATCGTAGTTCCTTCAATTTTAAATAACTCTTCTAAGGTACGAAAAAGATGGTAGTTGAGATCCTTTATTAATTTCATAAGATGATTATTTTCCCTCATAATCATTGCTTTGAGGTCTTTTTCTATGCTTTTGAGCAGTTCACTTTCCTTGGAGGTGTTCATCAATATTTTTACACTCTCCTCTATCTTTTCCTTCTTGATAATTGTGTTTGTTATGTCAAATGTATTGTGATACACCGCTTCCCTAACCCCAAATCAAATTACATGTCATGTCAAAATTATTGTTGTACATCTTTGCCCTAACCCCGCATCAAATAACCTACCCCATCTTTTCATGGGAGGACTTCTGCACAAACAAGGGTCGTATCACCATTTGCATTCGAGCTCTAAGAGATTCTAAGGTAGCGTACGTTCACAATGAGTCAGGAATGCTTCATTTGCTGGATTGGCCAGAATCTTTAGGTGTGGCACATATGCTCAAACTAAGAAACATATGTTTGTCAACATTTTTTCCTTTAATATAAGAAGCAACAAGCTTTCTCGCTAATTTTTTTGGGATTTGTCACCCTTCCTTACTACCCAAAGAATAATGAATTTGAGGTCTCAAGAACAAAGTCTATTCACAGAGTTCGGCATTAGAAACAACACTATTCATCAAGAACAAATGTACAAGATCAAGTTTGGTTCGTGAGAATCGATATAACTTAGGTTGTTGTGTCGCTCTTATACTATAGTGTTTCTTGAATTGGTCGACTCTTTTCTCTTTAAAAGTGAAACAACTATCAATTAACCATGACTTTTCACCATTGTTTCCTTCTAAAGTTCGGTGTAAGTAGTCTCCAGTTTATAGATAGTGTTATGAATTAGTGCATACATACATCTAAGGGTAGAATTCTTTAATTCTCTTCATCATCTTCGAGTATGGACCTTCAGAATTGGTTTCAACATCATACAAAAATTGAGATTATTTAATTTTAATTTGATATGGTAAATTCAGAATCAATAAAATATATGAATCTAAATTTACTTTCTCATGAGGTGTATAAACGTTCAAACAATGTCCAACATAGAAGAACTTAAGATCAAGTGGATAAAACCTATGTCCAGGTAAGGCACACATCTAATACTATGCAACTATGACGAATATCAACAATAAGATAATCAATAGGTTTCTGAAGCAACAAAATTTCCATAAATACCATCACTACACAATAATATGATTTTAGTGGAAATAAACTAATTGCCACTAATTTTTCTTCCAACTTCGTATAATACCAGAAAATAAACTGAACTGCAAATAATCAATTTTAAGTGGTAACTTAAATAAACGACAATTAAAATCTCAAACTAACTATACTCACATTCTTTTACAGTCTAAAATTTAGTGAAATTATCTGCACTTTGTTATGAATATAAGAAAATTTTATTTATTTATTTTTTCTTCTCATACATATTTATATATAAAATGTCACCAATAGAATGATGCATGTACCCAACAATGTACAAAATACTTCTCCAACCATTTGAATAACAAAATTAGAATTATTTTTATTACCAAAATACATGTATGAATGTCTTCACTTTTCAAAATAGCAGTAGCAAATAATTCATGCTTCCTCCCCTTGCGATATCATTTAGTCTCTAAATTTGCTCAATGGTTTTTGCATGAATGGTGACTTGTCTAATGTCACGGCCTAATCCATATATGCATCTGATATTGGTCATGGTGGTATTTTTAAACGAAAAATGATAAAGATCGTATCATTGTATTTGCATTCAAACATTCGAATAAATTCCAATGAAGTTATCTTACTATAAGGATGGAAATTTTGGCAATTGTTTTGTGCAATTCAAAATTAAATTTAGATTTATTAAATTAAATGTTTTTACTATGAATTGATTGTTAAGCTGCACAATCTATTTTGAAAAAGATGTACAAAATCATTGAGGTATGGTATCTGGATATTACATGTTTGTGATTGTTTGTCTTTATGAGTTTTGAATAAGCAAGATCTGGTATTTGTGACTATTAATTCATAAAATTTTTTTGTGTATATACAAGATTTTAAGATGAAAATTGTTGCACGACTAAGTATTTTATAAGCTACTTTCGGGAGTTTGGAATATCCAATATCAAAGAAATTGGCTCAGTTTTATCAAAGACTGAGTATAGTCTCTTCCAAATTAATATTCAATTTCTAGGACAATAATATCCAATAAGGTACTTTCATCCCTATCCCTATACAAGGAATCACTATAAAACAATTTTTGTGATACCTTTTGGGCCGTATGAATAGAATGTTATGCTCTTTGTACTAAAAATTACTCCCTTCAATTTTTTTTAAAATGTTGGATGATATTTTTAATCTTTTTTTAGATTTTCTTATAATTTACATTCATGATGTCCTCATATTTTCTACTAGTATTTGAAACATTTAAAAGTTTTTTTCAATATCATCAAAGAGAATTTCTTAGTAATATCCAAGAATAAGTATAGTATCTTCCAAATTAATATTCACTTTTTTGGAAATAATATCCAGCAACACACTATTATCCCTATCCAACTATCCATTCAAGTTGCTTATAAGTTTTCTTACAAAATTCTTGAGAAAACTCAACGCCAAAGATTTTGGATTGTGTCAATTACATAGAAGTATTATTCCAAAACATAGTAATTTACTAAATCATATCATGATAGATTGAATAAATCCCCTCCTCCATGGGCCAACATCCACTCTTTAAAGAAATAAAATTTAAAGCTATAGAACTTCCATGACTATCCCTTCTTCACACCTCTGCATTCAAAATAGTTAAAATTAATACATCAGACTAAGACTGGGCAACAGACCCGAACGGAACTACCAGACCGACACGAATTGGTACACGCTCGAAATGGAATAAGTTAATCGGTACTGGAATGAATCGGACTGAAAAAATCAGGATAGATCCTCGGTTTTGTCCTGTCCCACTATAATACTGAAATGGAACCAGAACAGACCGGAATGGAACGGGATGGAATAAATCATTTGACACATCTAGTTATTTCAATAAATATTTAATTTTTTTTAGCTATTTTGATTTTCTAAATAGCAAAATATGAATTTTTTTCATTTCAAAGTTTAAATTATTAGTTTTTAAATATATAATATATTTTTTTATTTAAGTATACCTAAAGATATTTTAAAAAACAATTTTACTTATTAAGTTTGCAAGTTAAGCCTAATTAAGTTTTCATGATTTGATTTTTTTGAAGTTTATAAGTTATTACTTATTAATATGATATAACTTATAGGTTATGTTTATAACTTGTAATTTAAATAACTTAAATTAGTATTTTAATAAATTAAATAAAAATAAGGATAAAATAATTATAAAAATTTAAAAATATAAATTATAATAGTAATATAAATTTATTAACAAATAACAACTAATCATAATCAGATAGGCACCACACTGGATCGAAACCGGATAAATCAAAATATATCGAGATAGATACATTGATATTAAATTGTGGTTCCATTCCGTGTTCCGGTTCACGATGTCTCGTTCTCTACCATCGGCAACTGAATCAGACCGATACAGGTACAACTCGATTCGTTGCCCAGTCTTACATCAGATATTGCTTATAGTGGTATTTTGAAGCAAGGAAATAATGACTAAGTGAATATCATTACATTGGAATAAATTCCCAAAAAAATGTCCTACATTAAAGGACACTTTAGCAATTATTTTGTGCATTTTATAAGGATTTCAAGAGGATTTACTCAATAAATTTTTAGTATAATATGTTCTATAAAATTTGTACAAAACCCATGATTCTAAACATATATAATCTGGATGATAAGCTATTTTTTCTATTTTATTTTGATATTGAACATATCAAAGGGAGCTTAAATTATATTCCAGAGTTATGTTACTCGAGAATTCTTACGAGATAGATAATTATGGGTAGAAAAAAATTACTGGGACTAAGTACACAAAATGAGAATTAAACAATTGTTGGACATCAGCCAACCAAAAATCAAGTACAAGTTCTTTCCAATAACAAACAGTTTCAGTTGCTATCAAGCAATGCTCAATAGATTTTATTAATTATTTTTATTACTCGCATCAACGTATATTTATAAGATTATCATGTTATAGTTTAGATAAAATTAATAACATTGTTTTGTATTCTTTTTATTATAGAACAATACTTAATTATACATTGAATTAGTATTTTTCTCTCTTTTGGACGGAATTAATATTTTTTATTTAAAAATTTATTATATAGAGTATAAAAAAAAATCATATGATTTTGGAAGAAGTATAAAAAATTTAAGGGTTGATAATGTAATATACAGTAGAATAGACAATTAAAGAAAGTTGTTGTAAAACATTTTGGAGTGCCACGTGGGCCCCAACAATTAGAATAGTTGCATACTAGTAATTGTGTGCAAACCTATTATGCATGTCATATGGAACCCTTCTATTAGTATTATTTCATCACTTGGCCAATTAGAAGGCAAAGTTATACATTTATACATTAGTTCATGGCTATAAATAGCCACTATATGAAATGAATACATATATACATTTTTGAAATGTATTACTTCCTTAATTTTCCTTCTTTTAGTATATTAATCGTAGTAAGTTCTTTTATAACACGTTATCAACACGAGTCTCGAAAAGTTCAAGTAAACACTTTAAAAGCCTCGGAGGTATAAATTTCCTTTTCTTAAATCATGCCTAATCTCTCTAAACTTGAATTTCATACTTTAGACAT